CCGGTCACTGCACTCCAGTCTGGGCAACAGAGTGAGACTCCAACTCAAAAAAAAAAAAAAAGAATTCACAATGGAAGTAAGAAAATATTTGGAGTTGAAAAACAAAATATACATATCAAAATATATAAACTGAGCTAAATCCATGCTTAGCAAAAAAATGTATACTTCAAATGCATATTTTAGAAATATGGGAGGCTAAAATTCAATTAGCTAAGCATCTATCCCATAAAGATGGAAAGAAGAATAGTACATTAAATCCAAAGACTGTAGAAGGGGGAAAAAGTAAGAAAAAGAAACCCAAAATGCAAAAATTCATAAAATAGAAGAATGATTCTTTGAGTTTACTAATTACTTTGTCATGTTCAGTGTTTGAGAAAAACCAAGATTGCAGTAGCTTAAGGATTGAATTGTGGGAGAGAATGTAGAAGAAGTAAGTATAGATGACTTGAGAATTTAACTTTCAAAGGAAGAAAGATAAAATAAAACAAATTTCTGCACACTCTCACTTCCTTGCATCATCAGACCACTCATACACCATGAATATATGTATTTATTCATTCAACAATCATTTATCAAGTACCTACTATGCTAAGCCAGGGAATTCTGGGAGCACAGGGAGAATGAGAGAGACAATAAAGTAGGAGATGAGGTTGGAGAAACAGGTAATTTCAGATTCATATAGTTCTTTGCAGGCCAGTATAAAGGATTGTATTTTATTCTGATGGATTGGAATTTACTGATTAGTTTCCAAGTAGCAAATAGGCTACTGAGTGAATAGTTATGGAGTCACGAGTAGTAGCAGCAGATAAATTAAGAGGCTATTGTAGAAATGTAGGTGAGAGATGTTGATAACTTAGACTATGGTGTTGGTCATAGGAATGGAAAGAAGTGGTCAGATTCAGGATTTATTTATTCATTCCACAAATATTTATTTGCTTCCTACAATCTGCCAAGCACTGTCTAGATCCTTAGTATATATTGCTTAACAGGATGTACAGAACACAATCTTTTGATGAAACTTACATTCTAGTGGTTGTACTTTGGAGGTGAAACCAATAGGTCATACTGATGTATTTGATATGAGGAGGCGAGGAAAAAAAATGAATTGACTATGACTCACAGATTTTTGACTTAAGCAACAGGGTGAATAGTGTTATCTTTATTAAGATGGGGACTATTGTGACAAACAGATTTGGGGTAGATATTTTGATGATAAGTTCAGATGCCTGTAAGACATCTCAGCAGAGTTGGCAAGTAATTAGATAGATATATGTGCTCAAGAAAGAGATAAAATCTGGAAATGTATATTTGGGAGTGACCAGCAAACAGATAATGTTTTAAATCCACAAAACTGTGTGAGGTCATATATTGAAAGAATAAAAATTTTAAATTCTGAGAATGGATCACTCTATCATTTAGAAAGCCTGTTGGAGTGGATTGGGCGGAAAAAAGGAACAAAGAAAATTGTGGCAGACTTTAAATATCATTTGCAAGAGCCTTTGCTGTGCAGGGGAACATAGAAGATGGTATGAAA